GCCCTAGTTTAATCAGATTTTTCATGTTCTTGGATAAGAAATATATGCATGATAAACATAACAGGAAAAGACGTGAATGCATGAGATAAATGATATTTAGATAGACAATGTAAGATAGACATGTAGGATATGAGTAAGAGATATTCATGAGATAGATATAAGTAAGAGATATGCATGAGATAGATATGAGTAAGAGATATGTATGAGATAGATATATGAATGATATGAAAGATATGTCTGATGAATAGTTGTACAACCGAATAAATATGCATGTTAGTGGATCCATAAAAAGGTCTCAAAATAATTTATGTATGAAGAATGAAATAATTTATACGTGAATGATTGCATGTGCATGTTCAGAAGACGATTTCACCCTTGATGGTACAGGCAGGGAACACCAGTATACCTGCTTGTGTAGATTACTTCTACCACCCCAGACAATTGTGATGATTAGTTCACTAACCGCTATGTCGACGAGATAATATCAACTAGGGGCGAGATAATTGTAATGATTATATTATTAACCGTTTTACCGACGGAATAATATCAGTCAGGGACTGGTAAGGACATTTCCACCTTAGACAATTTCAATGTGTAAATCGCTAATCACTGTGTCAACGGGGCAATATCGACCAAGGGTGTGTTAGGTTTGTTGACGATGATCCTCACAGAGACAGATGTGTATGTGACGTATAAACTAAAAGTAAAGTTAATATAAATGCATATAAAATATTAGCGTATGTTCATTTAGTCAAGGTTATTGATGCATGTATTAGCATATATAATATTACTTATGAACGTATCTTCAATTGCTTATAAACATATATCACGTTTCTTATAAATATATATAAGATTGTTTATAAATAAATATGAAAAATCAGCATATTATAAGATTTCTTATAGACACATATATTGTCTCTTTTCTTTTGATTACTATAGTTTAATAGTGTGATTATTCCTGTGTTATCCTTAGATAACTTATTATACTACTTCAATATGACTTTTTGGTTTTAAACATTTGAATAAGATGAACAGAAGAAGATAAAATATGTATAGAAGACGAGAAGAACAAATAGAAAAGTACAAATTTTCACTTGCTAATTTTAACTGTTTTCTTTAATTGCTCTTTCATGTATTATTTGAATATTAAATTGTTAGTAATAGATTTAAATAATAGATAATTGATTTCTACCATCCATTTTCATCTTGGTTAACTCCAAGTCCTGGGCCGGGTCGTGACAACTACCACCATCCTAAGCTTCGAGCACAACTAGTCTATCATCTTAAGTAATACTCCTCTACCTTCTTAGTTAAAATTCCTGGTCGATAACATAAAAAATACCATGCAAGCACATCTTATTTGTTGATAATCATCTTACATGGAAAGCGCAACTTCTCAAGTTGTTTCGGTCGGACAAATGGTTTTGACGGATTTCTTGATGGATCTACTCCCTACCCCACCACCACCATCATCAATGAAGATTGCTTTACTAAAAGTGATTCCCAATATTTTTCTCGGCTCTTCTCAGACCAAAATCCAGCATCTATTTTCTTAATTTAGATTTATGTGTGGATATTCTCATTTAATTCAGCTAAAATATGAGGTTTATAATATCATCATGAGTACTCAAAATATGACAAAATACAATTTGATGCTAATCAGATCTCTCACTTAACTCCTTCTCATGGTATAGACCAAGTCACTCTTGACAAGAATAAAACTCTACCCATTATTCTCTCAAGCAATGGACTCCTTCTAGCTCCCTCCCATAAACTTCTTCTATCATCCATTTCTCATGTTACCCAACGGCCTCATATTTTACTTTCAGTCCAACAACTTAGAAAGGACAATATGTACTCACTTGAATTTAGTGCTTATGATTTTATTCTCAAGGATTTGATGACCAACCAACTATTCCTCAGCGGTTCAAGCCGTAATGGCATTACTATAGTGGGTTGCCTTTATTGTAGAAAGCCATTTTATGTTTAACTTTGCATAGTTTCCTCATTTTAGTTTTATAAATTTCCAGTGTCGCCTCCAACTTTCCTGGTGCAGATCTCATCTGCTCCAACTGATTTATCTTTGCAACGTTTTTCATATCTTCCAACATTTTTGAGCTTCCCTCCTCTGAGGGAGCATCCGATCAATAGGTTCTGTTGTGCATCAGATTAGCTTTAAAACTAGAATCCTCATGACTTTGCTTCTTTAAACTCTTTATATCTCCACTTGTAGATCCCTGTTCTTTAAAAATTTATCTTCAGTCTACCTATGTTCTTAAAAAATCTGGGATTTGACAACTTATTTTATGAGAGGAAATAAAGTGATTAGAAGATGTCTATTTCTGAATCTGGAGTCTTTGGAATAAATTGCCTTGTATATTTTGCCAGACTTATTTTGTTCTATTTACGCTTTTTCTTGAGCTTGTTTTATCTCTAGTTGGGATGGCTATATTTCGATTCGGTGTATCTTTCTCCTGCTAAACTTTTTGAAGAACAATTTTCATTTAGTTACAAAAAGTGCTTAGATATTTTTCACTTTGCATGCAACACTTCTTGTTGTAATGGCTTTGTAAACATATGAACTGACTTACGAATCAACTCGTTATTTTATGGGAAGACTAATATGCTTTTATTTCACACAAAGTTAAAAAGTACCATTTCAGTGTAAGCTGTACCAAATAAACCTATTGGAGCCCTTGACGTTTTTTTCAACCAACTCCATGACAATCTTTCTGTAAAACTAGTGGAACTCCTATCAAAAAAATATATAGAAAAACGGTTGTGATAACAGTTTTCTTGTATCTGTCATCACAAACAATTTTTTTATAAAAAAAACTTTCCCACAACATAAATTTTTTCAAAAGCAACAAGGAAGTTTTAATAAAAAGGGGTCTTTACATGTGTACCACGCAATTCCTATATATTAACATATTAACTACCCAACTTCAATTTTTACGTACAAACCACCTGAGTCATATGTTTTTCGGCATTAGATTGAGTAATATGTATGTAAAAATTAAAGTTTGGGTGGTTGATATGTTAATACATAGGAATTGGGTGGTATGTTTGTAAATCTCTCTAATAAAAGGCATTCCCAGATAAAAAGAAGAGGCATTTATTTACATACCACCCAATTTCTTTGTATTTACTTATCTTACACCTAAAGTTTATTTCTTATGTGAATACCACCTCAATATTTCATATTACATATAATATATGACCATTTTAAATTTTAAAACGTGAAATGCATCTTTTCATGCATAGGTAAGATAGCATGCACATAAAAATTGAAGTTTAGATAGCATACTACAACAACAACAACAACAACAACAACAAAGCCTTAATCCCACTACGTGGGGTCGGCTACATGAATCCTTTTTCTCCATTGCGTCCTATTTAGTGTCATATTTTCATTTAGTTCTATTAAGTTAAGATCATTTTTTATATAATAAGTCCAAGTCTTCCTAGGTTTACTCTGTCTTTCTTAACATAAGTCGAAACTAAAGCATCTACTCTTCTAATCAGATCATCAGATGGTCAACCCTTAATGTGACCAACCAAATTAAGACGACTTTCTCTAATTTTGTCTGTCACAGGAGCTCGCTCCATGGAAGCCACACCAACCCTATCACGGATATATTCATTTCACATTTTGTTTCTAATTGTAAAGCCACTCATTCACCTAATCATTCTCATCTCGGCAACACTTAACTTAGTATTAATGCTTCTCTTTTAAAGGCCAACATTCCACCTCATAAAGCATTGCAGGTCTCACCACCGTTTTATTAATTTTTTTTTTTCAATCTAAGCGGTACTTTTCTATCACACAAAAGGCCCGAAGCATATCTCCACTTCAACCAACCAATTTGAATTCTACTATTAACATCCCAATCTATATCATCATTGCTTTGAACAACAGACCCGAGATATCTAAATCGTTCACACTTTTTAATAATTTGATCACCCAAAGTCACACTTTTGTCACTAAAGCTACTACTACTAAAATTACATTTCATGTATTCAGTTTTAACTCTATTCAAATGAAGGCATTTAGACTCCAATGGAGACCTCCATAATTCAAGTTTTTCCTGAATTTTTTCTCCGGTCTTATCCACGAGAAGGATATCATCAGCGAAAAGCATACACCAAGGTACATCCCCCTGTAAATGTCCAGTAAGACCATCCATAACTAAAGAAAAAGGATATGGGCTTAAAGCTGATCCTTAATGTAATCCAACAAAAATAGGAAAATATTGGGTTAATCCTCCTTCAGTTCGAACACAAGTAACAACTTTAGTACATATCTTTAATGACTTGAATATAAGTCATATCAACACCTTTCTTCTCAAGAACTCTCCAAAGGATATCTCTTGAAACCTTATCGTAAGCTTTTTCTAAATCAATAAAAATTAAATGTGGATTCTCCTTATTATCTCTAAACTTCTCCATCAAACTTCTCAATAAATGTTTAGCTTCCATGGTAGAACTGCCCAGTATAAATCCAAATTGACAATGCCTTGGAATATATCCACAAAAAAGACCTATGAAAAAAACCCATAACCAGAGATTCAAGTTTGTTTGCTTGTTCCAGGGTCAAGAGCAACTCTCAAAAGGACATATCCTTTTGGTTAATTATATCTTGAGTGGTGTCCAAGAAAACTCTCGATTAAAGGTATCCCGTACATAAAAATTGAAGTTTAGCTGTTAGACGTTCAAATACATAAGAATTGAGTGGTATGTATTTAAATCTTCCTAAAATGAAATATATATTTTCTTTGCAACATCCACATGTATACCCCAATTTCTATCTATTTACACATCTAACACCAAAAACACTCAAATCTTTATCATCACCTCAAAAAATACCACTTTTTCCAACATCTTAAACCTGAACTAAATCTTTTCATAAATCATCATATGATTGTAAAAACCAAAACATACATGTTAAACTTGCAAATGCCTCAAAATTATGTGAGACATACAAATCTTCTTTTTCTCAGGTGTATGCAGAAGCATTCACATGCCCATGCATCAGATACCACCCCTCAGATTCCTGCTTCGTCGCGCAATCAAACGGGAACTACATAGCCATTTTCTCGGCCAAATCTCCGTTCAGATTGGACAGATACAGGCGCTATGAGAGTCATGGAGTCTGGGGCTTTCCTATCAAGTGTAATTTCAGCCTGGATGGGAAAGAGATAGTTACAGGTTCCTCAGATGGATCTATATATTTTTATGATTATACATCCTCAGAACTTATTAGAAAAATAAAAGCCTTTGAGGAACCATGCGTTGATGTTGCCTTTCATCCTTCGGTGCCTAATTTAGTTGCTGCGTGCAGTTGGGATGGTGAAATCTCTGTATTCGACTGATTTATGTACTCTATTTTACATTTTTTTTGCTTGTAAAAATATTCTTTTTTGTAGTGAATTGAAAAGCATATATTGTTTTTTTTTTCGGGAAATGTGAGCTGAAAGGTCGATATGTGCAATTCGAACTTGGACCGACATCATGATGGGACACTATGCCTTCAACTGCTATATCGCGGGTAAGCAATTTAAAAGCCAACAATAATAGCATTGATATAATTATTTTTCAAATTTTAAAAATAATGCATAATACTATTTAAGTGTAATTAATTTATTTTATTATTAGTAGTAGTCTCTTTATCATTTGTACTATACAATGGTAAAAATGTCAAGGCCTAGTGGTTTTGCACATTTATACTAATTTTTTAGTACTTCATGTATGCTAGTTTTTAATTTGTGCTCACTTCAAATGCTTTTAGAAGCCAAATATGATAGTATTAATATCATTGTATTTAAATTTAAATATAACATAAAATATTATTTTAAGAGTAATTAATTTAATTTATTTTAATTTTTATTATTTTTATCGCCCCTCACAAATTAGGGGTATTCATTAGTTTCTTTACTGTGTATACAGCATTTTATGCGTTTTACACTTTGCCCGCTTGTCTCGGTTTGGCATTCCACTACTCCGACATCCTGCGCAGCTGTAGTGGGGAAATTCAACTGATTTATATCCTTACTTTATTCCTTTTGCATTATATAAATACCTGTTTGTATATATCTATCTGGCATCTGTCTCTTCTCATCCAGCGTCGGAAACTCCCTTGCAGTCTACCATCGAAGCTGGTTCACACCATTGAAGAACTTCCAGGTTTCTTATCTCTAGTTCTGTAGATTTCTTTCTGTCTGAATCTCTCAGTGAAATAGAGGACTTGGCAATCTCAAATCTGCTATCAGCTTCCCTACTGAATATCAATGCTTCTCCCTCTTTAAAACTTCTGCTTTCAAAACCAATTGAAAGCTGAAAACTATTCTATTTGGAGAGCTCAGATTTTGAGGATCTTTACAGCCAACGGGTTTCTTGGTTTTCTGGATGGTTCCTCTATTTTACCCGAAGGAGTTCCTCTCCGAAAATAGTAGCCCCATGGTGACGAATCCTAGTTTTGCAGCATGGATCCATACCGATCAAAATTTATTGGCTGCCCTCTATTCAACATTTTCGGCACGGCAGCCCTCTATTTAACATTTTCAGCAACAATCCTTCCCTATGTTCTTCATCTTCAAACCTCTGCTGATATTTGACACACTATTGAAAGAAGGTTTCAGCCCACCAGCAGGTCATGAGTGATTCAACTGAAGAACGAACTTCATCATATCACAATGAAGAACAACACGATGACCCAATAGCTCTTGGAGATTAAAGCACTCATGGATAATATTTCAGCAGCAGGTGCAAAAATTGATCCAGAAGATATGATCCTTCACATCCTCAATAGCTTACCACCCACCTTTCAATCCTGTAAAACCGTCATTTGCACTCAACTGCAACCGATTCATGCGGATGACTTATATTCGTTACTATGCAGCAAGGATATTAACTATGCCACCTAAACTGCTAAGCATAATGCACCCAATGATCCACAACTAGCCCTTATTGCTTTCAAGGGGCGCACCGACTCCTATTTGAAGGGGAGAGGTCGTGGCAATGCTTAGAGAGGTAGAGGAGGAATGAAGGGTGGTAGATCAACTTCCAGATCTACAACAGTTTGCCAAATCTGTCACAAAGTAGGACACTCTGTCTCAACGTGTTGCACCAGGCAAATCTGGAATACACTCCCCTACCTCCTCGCAAGCCCTCACTGCTCAGCTAGATGACTGGTTGTTGGAATCCAGTGCTACCGCCCACCGAACATCAGATCTCACTAAGCTTCAAGATCCGAGTTCTTGCTCCAGCAATGAACAAATCATCAGGGGCAATGGCCAAGCCCTTCCAATTAAGCGGATGAGCTATGGCCTTCTCCCTACACCACACCATAAGCTTCATTTACCTCAGATCAATATTCTTCTTCTCTATCACACATCTTCTTTTCATTCATCAACTAATCAATGATAAAAAAAAACATTGTTTCATTTAACACATCCAACATTCCATCATTGATCCCCAGACCAACCAAGTTCTTTTTCAAGGACCTAGCTCTCATGGATTTTATTCCATTTTCGCTTTCTCCGCCATTCTTCAAAAATCAGCCACCTCCAACCTATGGCATAAGCGTTTGAGGCATCTCATCAAGAAATTCTCAACACCATTGCCAAAGCTCAACATCTCAATATTTCCTCTAGATTACCTATATGTGACACGTGTCATGTTACCAAGTCTCATAGGCAATCATTTGGTTATACTAGGAAGCATAGATATAAGTAGTTAGAACTTGTTCATTCCGATGTATGAAGTCCATCCCCGATTACCTTTACCTATGGTTATAAATATTACATTTCCTTTGTTGATGATATGTCTCGCTTTTGTTGGGTTTACCAAATGACTACAAAATCTAAAACCACACAAACTTCATAATCACAAAACAATTCTTCAAACCCAATTCAACAAGAGTGAAAATTTTGAGAACTGATAGTGGAGGAGAATATACTTACACTGAATTAAATAATTTTATGCGCAACAATGACACCATTCATCAATATTCTTGCCCTCATACTCCGAAACAACATGGAGTGGTTGAATGAAAGCATAGACATTTAAGTTCATAAATGGAGTGTGCCTACTTCATAAAGCTCTTTATGTTCTCAAACAAGAGCCGGGAGTGGTTTCATATGCTTTCCAAGTTCTTCATCGAATAAGGCATCACCACTAACAAATTTGATCCCTCCTTACTCCTCTACAGTCATGGCAATACCAATCTCTTTGTTCTCATCTATGTAGTCGATATGTTGATCACAAGCAATAATACAACAACCATGTCTCAACTGGGGGGCACCTTTCAGCTCAAACATATGGGTCCCATCTCATGCTTTCTCTGGAATTCAAGCTCACCGATCTCCCAACTCCTGGTTTCTTACCTAAACGCAATATCTCTCGCATATCCTACATAGTGCCAGAGTGGATGATTGCACGCTGGTAAGCAAACCCCTTCCTCTCAAGAAACCTACATCTCCCTGAACAGTAAGCCGTTTCACAATCCTACACTACAGACAACTCACGCGGTCTCTCGAATACCTTACCATCACTAGACCGGTCATCATTTTTGCGGCGAATCAACTATGCCAGCACATGCATTTGTCGTCAGATCATCACTTCCATCTCTTGAATCACCTACTTAAGCATCTCAAAGCCACCAACAAATTCAATTTGCAACCTCCAATGGGAGATGCCGATTAAACCCTAAACAGAAAATTTACCACGGGTTACTGCATCCATCCTTGTAATGCTCCCATATCTTGTAATGTCAATAAGCAAAATACGATTGCTCGGAGACGAAATACGGTGCTCTCGCTGCCACAACAATTGATATGTTTTGGTTGTCTTGTTGCAGAATTTGGTATTCATCTAAACACACCCACTCCAATTTGCTGTGATAACATTTCAGCTACTCTGACATCCCGCGCAGGTGTAGTGTGGAATCTCAATTGATTAATATTTTTACTTTATTCCCTTTGGAGTTCATCCTACCTTGCTGCCTTTAGTTTATCTTTATAAAATTTACACACCTACCACACAATTCCCATGTATTTAAAAATCTGACCACATTAAATTTGATAATTACATTTCATAACATTTTAATGTATAAATTTCACATATTTCACTTTAAAAATGATAATAATGATATTGTTTTATGCAATATTAGTAAATATATAAATTTAAGCGTTAGAAATGCAAATATATAAGCATTGTGGTGTGTGTAAAAGCCCTCCCCAAAGAAAATTGAGATAATAGTTATAAAAAAATTGCCTTGACGCACGCGCAAATTTACATAGAAAAAATATCAATGGACGCGATGAATGGAGGACGTGAAGGAAAGAAAAGAAAAACGACCTCCTCATGCATCGCGTTTGTTGTCTAGACGCAGCTCAAGTCCAGATTCCAGACGCAATATTTTCCACGAGTCAAAATTCATAAGTTCTGAAGACTGAATTTAACAAAACAAAATTTGTTAATCCCACAATAATTAGCCTCACTTAGAAAAAAAAAAACCATATTTTAAACTAAATGGCTCCGAGATCAAGTCCTTGATTCTTCAGAAATTGCTTCGCTTCTGCAATATCCTGCATCCAAATGCACAATAGTTTAATCACATAAAGCTCTAATTAGCTCAAATTGTAATGATATTGCACAAATCTTAAAGCAAAAGAAATGATTTCAAAATCCACCTTGAATAAATTTTGATCAGAATATCCTGGATTTTAACAATTCTACCACAAATGCTTCTAAATAATTGAAAAAAAAATTAAAAAAATAAGCATATGGATAAAAATGTAAACTAAACTATTATCCAAATAACCTTATGCAACAATTGAGCTTCTTGAGGGCAAGTTGGGAAGAACATCAAACCAACTCCCACCATTAGAAGACCATAGCACCCCAACGAAACGATCAAATATACTGGAAGCTGTAATACAATTAATGAAACATAATAAAGCAATATTTGGGAGTGTATAAAGTTCGAATATTCAATAAAATGATTCAAAAACATAGAGCTGAAACTGACCAGCCATGCATAGCTACTTGGGACAATTGATGCCTGCAATAGCCCAATCCAGACTGCAGATATGGTCAAAAGTAAACCCAAAATCTTTAAGATATGCTTCATTTCACGGTAACTTGTCTTCACTACAATCTGCAGATAATAAATAAAGAAGATTTACATATATACACTTAATTTTGATATTTATACCACTTTATCTTAAGCTTTAAAAGGTTTAGAGTGGTATTTTTGGTGTGATATTAAATATTTGAGTGTATAAACAAAAAAAAAAAGCAAAGTTTTGGTGTTAGATATGTAAAAACATAGGATTTGTGATATGCATGTAAATTCCCCAATAAATAAATAAAATAATCCGACAAGGACTGAATTAATTGAGTCAGAAAGCTTACAACTTTAAAAAAACAACCGAAATTTCATGAGAGCAAACTTAGCTTTCAATCAAAAGCTTAACAAAATACAGCTACATAGCAACTTATGATTCTCAGGCAAAATACATGCCATGAAACTCTTCTGTTTTTACACATGTAAAATTAATTTTTTATATTTACATTTACAATGTTTGGTGCAATCCCATCAATGAAAAGGTACTTGTGGTACTCTAGATATGATATGAAAGAAACCACGCTGTGCATATAAATATGAAATTTTAGATATTAGTTGTGTAAAAACATAAGATTTGTGTGTTGTTTATATGCATGCCCCAATTTTTTTTTTCATGGATTAAACTTCCTATTTCTTATAGAAAAATGAAAGCCACATATTGATATGGTAAATGTTAACAAGTTAATTGTTGGCCAAATAATTCATCCCGGATAAATTGCAAAATGTCATAAAGAAGAAGGACAAGTGAAGCATTATATTGATTTAAACAACCTGAGTGGAATCTAACACAATTACTTGACAAGTTTAAAGTCTTGTTTAATGGACTAGTCTCTTTATCCCAAGAGAAAGAAACTTCCACATCTAAGTGTTTGAGATCTTCTAGATATATAGATATAGGTGAAAATTATTCCAAATTAGGAAATATTATTAGGGCACATTTTTCTGTTTTAACTGAATAAAAATCGTTGCTATTGAAAATGATGAAGTTTGTTCAATTATTATTTGATTAGATGTAGATAGGGGCTAACATTGATTTTAAACTCCATAAACCTTCTCTAAATTCTCTAAAAAATTATAACTTCAGCTCACACTCAAAATGAATTATCCCCTAAAACATGTTTTCTAAATACCAAGAACCAAATGAGACATTTGACGACTAATTTTTCTTTGATTTGTGATTTCCGACTAATTTTTCTCTGATTTGTGATTTCTTGGGTGAATATAAATGTTATTACGTTATTTATTTTTCTTTAAATCCATGGCAAATGATATCCAAAGTTAATATCATGTTGTTGAAAAGTTTAGTTATTACCACGTCCACAAAACAAACAATATGCATTACAAACGCAAAACACTTCAAAAAATTATTAACAATCTCGACCCTCCCATCGAGAATGCAAGATTTTAACCATAACTAATTAGATATGTATGAGTTAATAAGTTAAAATTTAATCCAATAAATACAATCGGTCAAAATAACATAAATTCACAAAAACACATCCTCGAAACATATAAAATTAGGTGGCATTCATGCAAAAACTATTCAATAAAAGTAATTTAAATCCGGTTATTACAACTATTCCTCTAAGAGGATATATATAAACTACTATTAAATCAAATAAATAACTTTAGAACGTTAATCACCTTCTCAAGTACAAGAAGAATCTACTAATCATTTCACAAGGTTGCCTAACTAGTAGCCTGAAAAAAGAAAAAACAAAACAAAATCAACAATTATGAATTTGCAAGAATAAAATCAGTGGGTAAAAGCAACTTTCTAAGACATATATGATGAAGAAGGCACACAATATAATCAACAATATGAAATAACTGAGAAGAAATGTTATATCAAATTGTTTCAATTACTATTTTGACTAAAAAGAATTTGATATAGCAAGAACAACAAGAAACAAAAACTATTCAGCAACAGTAAACATTTTATAGAGTTCATAAACCATGCATGAAAAATGACAATCCAAGCAATAGAATGCTAAAATCCATTGCAATACAAAACTAAACTTCCCTTCTTCTGAATTAGTAATATAGTTATCTTTGCAAAAGCAATCTTAATTCTGCTAAGGGATTATCGCATATTCATACATTAATTACCAAATCATCTCTTACCAAATCATCTCACCACAATTCATGTCGCCACACATAAAACGTGTATTTATAATACGATCACTACATCGATTATTACAAATCCCATTTATATATAAAAACCGATTATTCACCTCCACCGAACATGATTTTTCATGGCTAACTAAGATAGAGGGTTTAGATCTAAGTTTTATCCCTCAGGGGCAGAATTTAAGTGGGATTTAACCTATGTTCTGCCAAATGGCCAAAATGGCAACTTAAAATCCTGCAGAATCTTAATCCAGTTTTTCCTCCGCTTTGCCCTAAATCACGGATTTAGTAAATCCTGGTGTTCGGCGAATTTACATGATTTAGCGAACTGAAACGCCGGAATGGGGAAAAAGGGCAGGAGAAATATACACCTTCGGAAGCTCCCGTTGCGACTTCCTTGCGAGGGTTTCGGATAGGAGCGAAAGGGGGAAAAAGACTAGGGTTTCGGACACACAGTCACTCCTCGGCAACCATCCAGCTCCGAGCAGCGTCGCCGAACAGCAGCTCCTTCGAAACCCCGTCGCTGCGTTCGCCGGCAAGCTGAATTAGGGCTTGCGGGACGGAGGAGATGAAGAGAAATTTAGAAGTAATGAAAGTGTTATTAATAATTAATTAATATTTCAATTTAATACAATTAAATTTAAGGGATAATTACATAGAGACCCCAGAAAAGATTGATAATAACCGGATTGATGTATTAGTTGTGCCACCCTCAAATTATTGAAAATTTGATAAAAATGAGAAGTATGATATGTAAATTGGGGGGTTGATTTGTAAATAGCACCTTAAATTTTAATTATATAAAAATTTCACATGGAATTAATTTAACAAATAATTGATTAATAATTAATTAAAATATTATTCTATTTTGATTAGAATGTATAAAATTGTTGACAAAATATCAATTAATGAAATAAACTTTGCCGGTCGTCATACGGCTGGGTGCGGTTTAATTTAGTGCAATATAGTATTTAGAAATTATGTATTTTACTTTGAAGAAAATGTAGTCAAACTGGTCTCATTGATTCCTACAAGTTGAATAATCGAGATAACAAAGTGTAATGTACCACCCTGAAAGATAATACATTAATTGATAATAAACTCAATTAAATAAATTATAGAAATAAATGGCTTCCGTTTGATCTGCAAGTTTGCATGATGACTGACATATTTCCTTATTCGATATGGGAGTAAAATAGAGTTTATTTTAAGTATGGGTTCTTAAGTTCCCTATGATGACAAGCCTCTATAGTTAATTACATCTTAAGCGAACGGATCACTTAAGAAAACTCTCGATAAACATCAGGAATCTTTTGTTTTCATGAAATTCAAAATGATAGGTTTTCAATGAACATGATTGTGAAATTTCCAATAGGAATTGGTTCAAAGGTGAAATATTTTATTTTAAGAATCAAAGGAAGAAAAATATAGGAGATTAAAGGTCCAGAATAGGTTCTTGGTAATCTCCCAAACTATCATAATGTTTGACTCAATTTATGATGATATTAATTTAAGTTAACTATTGTCAGTTTTATTAATTAGGTCTTAGATTTGTATAATAATGATTTACACAAAAAAACCTAGAAAGATAAAAGGTTTTACGTCAAGTGACTATCTCATAAACATAAAACAAGTTAGGACATGCTGCATATCAGGACTCTGCAGGAGTCTAACAAAAATAGAGGTTTTATGTCATAAAAAACAGCATCGGAATCATAAGTATTGTTATTTAAACTAAAGAAAGGTTTGAACGAGCTGCCCATGAAGTTGGCTCTGAAGTCCTTACTGTCGCAATAGTTCCGCAGTTCAATGTTTTATAGTTTCGCAGTGTGTATGTTGAGTTTTGTTGTTGTTTTGGGTTTTGTTTTGCTTAGGTTTTGGTTTCGATTTTGGTTTGCATGCCAAGTAAGGTAAATTGCGGATAAATAAAATGTAAAAAATAAAAAATAAAGTGCAGTAAAGTAAATAAAAAGAGAATGCAATCATAAAATAAATGTGTATCTAGGTTTATGCTACTGCTGCATGTTTAGTATCATAAAGTATAATATATTTGCAGAAAATTTAAATAAACTACAAGAAAGTACGCAAAAGCATCTGGTGCTGGAAAAAGGTCAGACAACGAGTCATAAAAAAAACACAAGCAAGTAAAATAAAACTTGTAGTCACATATGAAAGAATGGTAATGGGTGTAAGACATTGGTAAAGGCAGGGGGCTCAGAGCAGGATTGTGTGATTCCCAAACTTGAGTAAGAGCTACCAACCTGATAATCTACGGAGGGCAGTCCTAACCTTGATCCAAGTGATTTACCGTAGACTTTTATAAAATTTTTGTTTTCCAATTTTGATTTTCATGCATGTAGGAGTTATTTAGCAAGAAAAATGTATTTTTGTTGCAAAGAAAATTTTGTTTTAAAATATTTCGTAAGGTAATACAGTCCACGGGTTAATTATCCTAATCAAACTAAGACTACTAGCAACCTAAGAGTGTCAGTGACAACAGTCTCACTAAGTGTTGGTGAAAAGTATCATCGGTTCTTATTCTCTCCCCTTATCAGGAGTCCTTGAGGTAAGAGTTATTATTCTGATAATCCTACATCGTATCCCTTGTTTAAGCACATATAAGCATTATCGTCGTTGCCCTATCCACCTAGACCTCAAACTTACATAAGCCTGATCATTCAATTGCTCACAAGGATTTAAATGTCTTAGAGAAGACTCAAATCATTGGGCATTGGGTCATTAATGTAGGATAAGTAGTTTGAGGTATTTCTATTGATTTGTGTTAATTATCGGGTTCTGAATCATATCTTGGTGAGTCCTTAAGGAATTCATTTGTTATGTTATGTTTAATTATTGTGTTGTGAGGATGAGTTACTTCAATAAATCATGATAGACTTGAATGTCCTATAAAATATCTAAAATCTTATAAAGGAGTTCAAGAAACTCAATTTTGTATGTTTTTTTTTATTTTTATTTTATTTATTATAATTATTTTAGTGAATAATTATAAATACATTGAAAAATAGTTTTAAGTATTCAAAATATATTTTTGGGTCTTTAAAAATTCAGGGATTTATTTTTTAAGTTACTGTTCTTGATTAACAAAACTTTGGTGATATTTTGAGATATTATGTGTTTTTGTGATTTTTTTTTATTTTAATTATTTTCAAATGCTCAAAAATAAACTTTTTTATTTTAATTAAAATTTCATTTTTTTTCTAAGTGACCATGACCTCAGAGAACTCACCAGGCCAAATTTTATATTTTTACGATTTATATTTTAATTATTATAATTAATTTAAGAAAAAATTAATAATATTATAGAAAAATACACATAGGCATTTCAAACACATTTTTTTTACTTTGAAAATTTTATGACAGTGTTTTAAAGTGATTTTCTTTAATGAGGACAATTTTTGTGATTTTTTTAAAGATATATTTATATTTTTTTTAATTTTTAATTATTATTATTATTATTTTAATACTTAAAATATAATTTCTATTTTTTTTATTTTTTTTTTTTGTCTGTATGTGTTTTTTGAGTTTAGGGGTATTTTTATTTTATTTTTATGATTTTTTTTCACCAAGCTATGTATTTTTAAAATTTATGTAATTATTTAAATCAAAAATACATTATTGCGCTACTTATCCATGTAACACCCTTTTAAGACAAATTATCATATCACATACACAACTCATAAATCTTAAATGGTGTGTAGGAATATCTAAATCCTCAGACATGCTTGAACGACATAAAAAGATTGTCAAATTTCAAATATTAGACTTGTAAATTCATAAAAATTATGTAACATATATCTGAATGAAATTTTCGACGGTAAATATGTAAGTCCATAAAAAAAAAAACAAGTAGTGCACGTAAAGTATTCAAATTTGAATTTCAAGTATGTAAATACACATGATTTGTTAATAATCCCAATTATGTTAGGACTGTGAATTTAGCAACTTTAGCTCGAAGATAGTTGATCGCTTAAAAATTGATTCAAATCTTAGCCTAAATCGAGATTGAATCGAAATAAATGAGCCAAGCTATGAGTCAATTTTATATCAAATTTTTTTAGCAGTTGATTTTGAGCCGACCCCAGCTCGGCTCGAAGTTGGATGGTTAACAACCTTATCAACTATATTATCAGTTCTTGATCCCTGATGTTATTCTTCCTATGGAAAAATTATTCCATACGGATCGGCCACCGCACGCAGCTTGGTGCGGTGCCCGATCCGGACCGTAGATCACCTGATCAACGGTCCCGATGTATTTCGGTGAGGCCCACCTAAATTTTTTATTTTTTTTATAAAAAAAACAGAAATAATTCTGGTCGTAGATCACCGTGATCTACGGCCAGGATCGGACACCGCATGCAGAGATGCATGCGGTGTCCGCACGCAATAATCTCTCGATGAGGAGTCTGTCCATGGGATGACTAAAGATATTAAGGAACTATATCTTTCCTCTCATTGGATCTACCGAAAGATGTGTTACTGCCTTCGGTTGGCTTTTTATAGTTGGCTCTGATGCTTATTTATCTTATTTTAGTCCAATTGGTTTGGATTTGGATCCATCGGACATCCCTTTGTCATTCTTCTAGCTTGATGTCCTTCGGTTTTGGTTGAGATGGCTACATTCAACCGGATTAATGGACATCTTTGTCTTTTGTTGATGGGCCCTCCTTTGTTCCAATCTCTACAAAATAATGTTGCAATAAGAATAAGAAAATTTAATGCAAAATTAGATAACATTTTTTTTTCTAATTAATGATTTACCAATTGAACTCCCTAGACTTATATGCCCTTGTTTCTTACAAATAGGGCACGACGGGACTCTAGAACTTCATATTTGTTTTGTATCTCTTCTAGTCTGAATCAATTGGCTTTCAATTGCTATCATTGAGAATGTATCAAGTCCTTTGACTAATGTCCCCCATCTTGTAAATGCTCTCGCCACCTTTGGAAAACTGAAGGACTGGTATCACCCAAAAGGTGAAAAGAATAAGAAGAAAATCACTACTCAAAAAAGAAAAATAGCCACACCGGCGGATCAGGTGAGGTTGTTTGAGTCATTCCTCGATACTAATCAGGGGTACATTTAGACGACTGACCATCAATCCATCTGCTCAAGTTTCTGTTGGGGCACCAAACTTTTCAATCAAAGGGGCAACACAAGAAGCTATTAGTGCTTTGCCATCACCTATGGTACAAGAAGTTGATGGTGTTGTGAAGTTCTCCAGTGAGAGCGATGTGTTGATTACAAGACTTTCGGTCGCCGTACGCCTGAATGCTGTTTAATTTAGCATAATATAATAACTATAAATTAGGTATTTTAATTTGAAGAAAATGGGGTCAAAATGATCTCATTGATTCCTACACTTTGAATAATCGAGTTAACAACGAGTGATGTACTACCCTGAAAGGTAATACAACACTTGATAATAAGCTTAATTAAATAAACTATAAAAATAAATGATTTCCGTTTGATCTGCAAGTTTGCATGATGACCAACATATTCCTCTATTCGGTCTGGGAATTAAAT